CCGTGGTGTTATATTTCTAATATTTTTCTAAAATCTTGGGAAAATGGGTTCTTGCTGTTTTATTTTTGAAGGAATTTGAAGGAATCTAAGGAATCCCTAGTGTTTTATTTATTTAGAGCACTTGAAAAAATCTTTAGAAATACTGGCGTTGTTTTTTTTAATATCTTTCAAAAATCCTAGAAAAACTTGGTGTTTTGTTTTTGAAACTATTTGAAGGAATCTAATTAATTCTTGGTGTTTTATATATTTAAATAATTTGAAAGAATCGTGACAGTATTAATTTTTTAAGAATTTGTAAGTATTGGCCGATGAGGTGTTTTATTTTTAAAAGAACTTGAAAGAATCGTCTTAAGCCTTGGTTTTATATTTGTAAAATTTTCAAGAATCCTAGGAACCATGGGTGTTTTATATTTTAACGGATATCAAAGCATCTTGGTTCCCTTGATGTTTTATTTTTTAACGAATTTGAAAAAATCTTAGAAACCCCTAGTGTTCTTAAAATAACTTGAAAAGATCTTCGGAAATCGTTAGATTATATTTTAAATATTTTTCAAAAATCCTAGAAGCTCTGGGTGTTTCTTTAAAACATATTTGAAGAAATTTAAGGGACTCCTGGTATTTTATTTATTTAAATAATTTAAAAGAATCCTGCGAGTTCTTGACGTTTTATTTTTAAAAGAACTTGAAATCTCTAAACCCCTGGTGTTCAATTTAGTTAAAAAACTTCATAGAATCTTCAGAAATCCTGCTGTAATGTTTTTAATATTTTTCAAAAATTCTAGAAGCCCTAAGTGTTTTATTTTTTAAAGTATTTGAAAGAATCTAAGGAATCCCTGATGCCTTACTTCTTCAAGAATTTGTAAGATGTTTAAGGGGCGGAAGATGTTTTATTTTCAAAAGTATTTGAAACAATTTTCTGAACCCTTGGTGTTGTATTTTTAATATTATTCAAAAAAAATCCTGGGAACCACAGGTGTCTTATATTTTACAGTATATCAAACAAACTTGGCACCCTTAATTTTAGCAACCCCTAGTGTTTTATTTATTTAGAGAACTATAGAATCTTCGAAAATCCTGGTGTTACATTTTTAATATTTTTTAAAATATCCTGGGAACTATAGATGTTTTATATTTTAAAGTATATAAAACAACTCGTCATCCTTGTTGTTTTATTTATGAAATAAAATGCAAACATCTTAGGAACCCTAGTGTTCAATTTTTTTAAAGAACTTTATAGAATTTTCAGAAATCCTGGTGTGATATTTTTAATATTTTTCAAAAATTCTGGAAGCCCTGGGTGTTTTATTTTTTAAAATATTTGAAGGAATGTAAGGAAACCCTGATGCTTTATTTTTTTTTAAGAATTTGTAAGATTCTTAGGGGGTGGATGGTGGTTTATTTTTAAAAGAATTTGAAATAATTTTTTGAACCCTTGGTATTATAATATTATATATACCTTAATCTTATGAATTACTAGTGTCTAATTTACTTAAAGAACTTTATAGAATCTTCGGAAATCCTGGTGTTATATTTTTAATATTTTTCAATAATTCTAGAAGTCTTTATGTTTTAATTTTAAAATTATTTGAAAGAATCTTCAGAACCCTTAGTGTTTTATTCATTTAAAGAACTTAAAAGAATCTTCGAAAATCCTGGAGTTATATTTTTAATGTTTTTCAAAAATCCTTGTGGCCATTGGTTTTTTATATTTTAAAGCATTAAAGTGTTTTATTTATCCAAATAATTGACAGACTCCTGGGAGTTCCTGGTATTTTTTTCTCGGTAAAAAATTGTAGGAAACCCTGGTGTTATATTTTTAATATTTTTCAAGAATCTTGACAACTCTTTGTGTTTTATTTTTTAAAGCATTAAAAAGTCTTGGTGTTTTATATTTGAAAGAATCTTAGGAACGCCTTGTGTTATATTTTTAATGTTTTTCAAAAATACTGGTGTTTTATATTTTTAAGTATTCCAAAGAGTATCAGTGTTTTTTGGAAAGAATTTGAAAGAGTTGGGAAACATAAGATTTTTATCTTTAAATTCCAGGTGTTTTATTTATTTTTTTTTAAATTCATGAAAAATCCTAATGCACTAATATTGATGTAATGAATATAAAACACCTAATTTTGAAAACTCTTGGTGTTTTATTTTTGGAAGAATGTCAAATAATCTTAGCAATCCCTGGTGTTCTATTTATTCAAATAATTGAAAGACTCATGGGGGCCGTTGGTGTTTTCTTTTTAAATGAACCAGTGAAATTTTTTCCGAAACTCTGGTGTTATCATTTTAATATTTTTCAAAAATCCTGAGAGCTCTGGGTGTTTTATTTTTTAAAGCATTTTAAAAAATCTTAGTGTTTTATATTTAAAAGAATCTTAACAACCCTTGGTGTCATATTTTTAATATTTTTAAAAAATACTGGGAGCTACAGGTGTTTTATACTTTTAAGTATTTCAAGGAGTATTGGAGTTCTTTGAAAAGACTTTGAAAAAATCTTAGGAAACTTAAAATTTTTATCTTTTAAATCCCAGGTGTTTCAGTTTTCAAAAATTGCACTAATATTGCTCTAATGAATATAAAACACCCAATCTTGGAAATACTTGGTGTTTTATGTTTGGCAGAATTTCAGAGAATCTTAGGAACCCCTGATGTTTTATTCATTTAAATACCTAATTTGTAAGAATCCTGGAATTTTCTGATGTTATATTTTTGATATTTTTCAAAAATCATGAGTAGCGTGGATATTTTATTTCCTAAAAACATTTTAAAGAATCTCAAGGATTATATTTTAAAGTATTAAAGTGTTTTATTTATTCAAATAATTGAAAGTATCCGGGGAGTTCCTAGTATTTTTAAAGCATTTTAAAAAATCTTGCTGTTTTATATTTGAAAGAAACTTAGGAACCCCTGGTGTTACATTTTTAATATTTTTAAAAAATACTGGCAGCAACAGGTGTTTTATATTTTTAAGTATTTCAAAAAGTGTTAAGAGTTTTTTGAAAGGAATTTCAATTAATCTTGGGAAACTTTAAATTTTTTTATCTTTTGAATCCCAGATGTTTCATTTTTTAAAAATTCATAAAGAATCCCGACGCACGAATATTGATTTAATGAATATATAACACCGAATTTTGGAGCCTCTTGGTGTTTCATTTTTGGAAGAATTTCAAAGAATCTTAGGATCCCCTGGTGTTTTATTTAGTTAAATAATTTAAAAGAATCCTGGAGTTTCCTAGTGTTACATTTTTGATATTTTTCAAAAATCTTGACAAGCGTGAATTTTTTATTTTTTGAGGACCCTTGATGTTTTATATTCGTTAGATTCTGAGACACCACTCTTGGTGTTCTATTTATTTAAATAATTTAAAAAATCCTGGGAGTTCATGGTGTTTTATTTTATCTAGTATTTAAAAGATTTTCGGAGCGCTGGTGTTTCGTTTTTAGGACAACTTGAAAAAATATTCCAAACCCTGGTGTTACATATTTTTAAATATTTCAGGGAGTTTTGCTTTTTGGAAAGAATTTAAAAAATGTTAGGAAATTTAAGATTCTTTATCTTTTAAATCCCAAGTGTTTTATTTTTTAAAAAATTCATAGATAATCCCTAACGCACCAGTATTGATTTAATGATTATAAAGCACCGATTAAAACAAATTTATTCATTCCCTCCGGAATCCTGCCAACGCAATTCTGTTGTTACTAGTCTCAAATTGTCCGTACCAAAATATACAGAATTGGTTGTTCTTCGTAAGCCAGGGAAGTTCTCCCAAAATAATTTTCAATTACTTTAGTACACTACTTCGCGATGGCCGAACTCTTATTAGCAAATTTGCGTCGCCAAGCCCACTAACCCAGTTCCGGGCTTCCGGAATCGGTGTCGCTAATATTTCCGGAATTCCGCGGGCGAAACAGTCAAAGAAACATGGAATTAATCTTAACCTAGCGCTAAATTCCGGGCCAAAATCGATAGTGCGGTTAAGGGCCGGTGTCGCCCATCCAAAAGGCCATCCGTCCCTGCGCCATTTCACGCAGAGCTGAATGTCTAACTAGGTGATTGTCAAAAATAATTAATACGTTTGTCATAATTCGCGTGCGCCCAATTATTCAACAGGTGTCTCTAAAGTTATGAATAACCCGATAATAAACACGTCGACTGTGTGCATTTCGGATTAGTTCGATTAAAAATGGACCGTTTAATTAGCTCGATAATGAGCGACTTTTTGGAGCGAAAACCCGCCCGAGTTTCTAGGAATCGCAAAGCGCCGATAAACAAAAAACCAGATTTACATTTACACGGGTCGGAGTGGCTTACTCAAATGCGCTCAGTCTCACTTTTAAATGGTTATTTCGGTTCGGCGCGTTTAAACCGTATCGATTTAAAAACACTTGCGGACTTGCCTAAAAAGGAAAGTAAACAAACGGTAAGTCTGCAGTTGGCGTCTTGCTACTGTAAATAAATTTAATTAGAGATTAGGCGATGAAGGAGGACGGATTAGAGACTTCATCGGAATGGGTTTCTAAACAGAGTGATCCTTCGAGACGCCCACGTTTCCAGGAGCTGGATGACATGCTTAAGTACGCCTACTGGAGAAAATTTCCAGGAAATGCGTAAATTTTTAATAATGAGGGGAGATTTGCATTGATGTCTTATTTTTTAAGAATGAGTTTCATATCACCGGAGATTTTAGCGAATTTATTAAATATTAACGCATCGAACGAATTTTCGCTGTACTTTAGTAAATTAATTTCAACGCACACCGTGTGTCCTGTTTAAAGAAGATAAAGCACGGGATATCTGATAACGAAAGGACGCAAAAAATCAGTTTAAATCACTTCCTGCTTTTTTAAACTTTCTCCTACTCCGCCTAAATCCACCTCTAATCAATAATAAAAAAACTAGCCCTCTTCCGGAACTTCCACTTTGTCCATTCCCCATGCCTGAACGCACACTTATTCAACCGATAGTTTTACCCCATTTTCTATCTTCTGCTTCTTTACAGGTGGTAGCGACGATGTTATCAACCCTTCTCATCGACAAAGCCGGCCGAAAAATCCTCCTCTTTCTCTCGTCGCTCGTTATGTGCATTTCGTTGGTTTCTCTAGGAATCTATTTCCACGTAAAAGCGACCCAAGACCTCGCTTTTTTGAGTTCGCTACCTCTGGTAAGCTTGGGGCTTTTCATCGTCATGTTCTCGGTGGGTTTGGGACCCATCCCGTGGATTATGCTGGGGGAAATCTTCACTCCGAAGACTAAAGGGGTAGCAAGCTCCATTTCCGCCGCTTTCAACTGGGTGTTGGCGTTCACGGTAACCAACCAGTATCAAAACATGAACGATACTTTAGGGGTAGGACCCACTTTTGTGCTTTTTGGGGCGATTTGTGGGGTAGGGGCGATTTTTGTGAGCCTGCTTGTACCTGAAACGAAAGGAAAGGATGTTGAACAAGTCCAAGGGGTCTTAATGGGGAACAGAATTCTCAACTGTTCGTGCAGAAGCAAATCGACTGAAGTGTAAAAATTTGGTTTAAGTACTTAGATTTAGTATCGTGATAGGTATTTATTTAACTAAATAAAATAATAAAACACTGGTGGTTGGTTTATTTATTGTTGTTAAGCTCTCACAGTTTTTCTTTTTTGAATTATTCAAGTTGTGTAACGGTTTTAATGAAAACCGCTAGGAAAAATCACCGCAGGGTGAAAACTGTTAGAGTGACGTCTATTATTGTTTGCAGTGTTCCAGTTAGATAATGATCAAACATGCAATTACCATGCCACTAACACTGGCTGAAAGATTTTCAATCAATTATGAATGACAGTTCGTGCATAAAAAATGACGTCTATCGGGGTTTACTTGAAAATTTGTGCTGAAAGTTTGAGGCGTACAAATTGGAAAATTGGTTCCACCTTCAAAATTTGTGAAGTGCTTACTTCTGGACAGTCCTTTCATATGTATTTTTAGTTCCTGACCGTAAGCGTCTGTCTGTCCGTATGTGTGTCTGTGCGTCTGTCTGTCGTCACCGATTTTTATTAAACAAATAATCTCCGAAAATACTGGACCGATTATTGTCAAATTTTGTAAATCATGTAGATGGTAAAACGATAACCAAAATTTGTCTAATCATCTCCACCAATAATGTTATGACGTCACTTCAAAATTGTACATAGTACTTGCAACGGTAAGGCCTGTGCTCCAATACTATGCTTTAAGTCCAGAACCAGTAAATATTATTGAGAAACAAAATTTCCCATCAACTTTCAGGTTTCACTTAGCACTTGCTAAGATAACACTGATTGTGGCAAATGACATATCCCCTAAGAGAATGGAGGGTGGGTGGGCGAGGCTAGTACTAGTTAAGAAATGGCTGATTGTGGCGAATGACATATCCTTTAAGAAAATAGCGGGCAATTCAGCAAGACTAGTACTTGCTAAGATAAGATCATGGAAGAAAGACAAAAGTGAAAATAATGGAATAGTCGAAGAGAGAAGATGAGAGCTCTTTGGTGGAAATAAAACTTTTTTTACAACTTACGTTCTGTTAGTTCCCATTTCCACTCTAAAAAAAACATATAATTAACCACGCCCACCCACCCCGCCTCCATTTCTATGAGTCATTTTATGTACTCAAAGGTGGATCTTATTCTCGACAGAAATAAAATCGTTATAGTGAGAGTAGCGAGGGTGGGTGGGGCTAGTACCTGCTACGATAAGAGACATACCCAGCATACTTTCTAAAGAAATAACAGATGGGTGGGTGGGCGGGGCTAGCACTTAATCAAATAAGACTGATTCTGGCAAATGAGATACTTTCTAAGAAAATAGAAGGCGGGTGGGCTGGGTTAGTAGCTACTTGCCAAGATATACTATGTAGGACCCAGAGAACAATCGGTAATAGATTATTGAATAGTGAATGAAAAAGCATGGGAAGGAATTTCGCTGGTTAAAGTGGGAGAAAGGATAGACTCCGAATATATGGAACTGGAGGTTGAAATTGGAGAATATAACATAAAACAGAGGAGGAGAAAGCAGGAAAATATGTGAGAATAATATGGGATGACGGGGCTAGGGAGGCAAATGAAGAGAAGTTAACAACTTATCCTTTCGTTGAAACTAACTAATACCCAAGAAAAATGGGATGAATTGGAACAACTGATAAAAGATGCAGAAATGAAGCTAGAAATTAGTAAAGGTAGAAGTGGAGGGAGAAAAAATGACTGGTGGAATAAATAATGCAGAAAAGGAAGGACTAGGAGCAAGAACTTTGAAGGATGAAGTAAAAAGTGTGAAAAGTCAAGGAAAACAGATGTGACAGGAGTTCTGTAGAAGAGATAAGAAATTCTAGGTAGAACAATAGAGATAGAGAATGATAATAGAGGAAGAAGAGCCACATTACTTAACAACCTAAAACAAAAATGTGTGAGGAGCAAAAAAAAATGCAAAATGTAAATCAAAAAAAAAAAGAGAAGAAAGCAATCGGTCTAGTAGTTTCGGAGACACAGATGACAGACAGACGACAGACAGACGGAAACGGGGGACCACTTTTTTCGTATTCCAGGAGTTTTTTCCATGGTATTAGGAAATTACAAACAAATAAAAATTAGATAATTAACGATCAACGAGCAAACATTTCTCATTCCTAAACTCCGACTTTCTCTAGATGCACCCCGTTCTTCTAAAATTTTCGTTTTTATTTTACGTTGCTCCTTTTTAAGATATATTTTACCCAGAAATAAAGGAAACATATTTAAAAGTTTTAATTTAATACTATGCCAATCTGGCAATTTAAAACTTACAATTTAGTGAATCACAGAAATCGAGGCGGGGTTAATTATATGTTCTTTTTTAGAATTGAAATGGGAACTAATAGAACGTAAGTTGTTAAATAAAGTTTTATTTCCATTAAAGAGCTCCCATGTTTCTCGTCGACTAATTGCAACAGCTGCTTTCCTTCAATATTTTCACTTTTGTCTTTGGATCTTCTTTTTCCATCATCTTATCTTAGCAAGAACCAGTCCCGCCCACCCACCCTTTATTTTCTCAAAAAATATATTATTTGCCAAAATTAGTCTTATCTTAACAAGGATTAGCCCCGCCCACCCGCCCTCCGTTCTCTTTGGGCTATGCCATTTGCCAAAATCAATCTTATCTTAGCAAGTACTAGCCCCGCCCACCCGCCCTCTATTTTCTTAAAGAAGATATTATTTGCAAAAATCAGTCTTATCTTGACAAGTACTAACCCCGCCCACCCGCGCTCTAGTCTTTTAGGGGATATACCATTTGCAAAAACAAACTTATCTTAGCAAGTACTAACCCCGCCCACCCACCCTCTATTTTCTTAAAGAATATATTATTTGGCAAAATCAGTCTTATCTTAACAAGGACTAGCCCCGCCTATTCGCCCCCCGTTTTCTTTAGGGGCGTGCCATTTGCCAAAATCAATCTTATCTTAGCAAGTACTAGCCCCGCCCGCCCGCCGTCTATTCTCTTAAAAAGTATACAGAGTGTTATCGAAAGATACGTACAACAAAATTGACAGTTCTTCGCGAAGTTTAAGAAGTTTGAAAAATTTATTTTGTGTTATCAAAATTATAAGGGGAAAATTAACCCTTATCCAACCTTTTTAGACGCTACTGAAGAATAAATAGGTAAAAATAATTTATTTTAGTAAATCCTAGCAACTGTAACAATGAAACTTTTGTCAAGACTAAATGTTGCTATAGAAACGAAAGATGATCTTTTTATCAGAGGCGTACAACGAATTTGGACATTAATTTTAATAATTTTTATCTCTAAAAGGAGAACACTTTTACCTGAACTTTTTTTACTTTTAACACCCATATTTCGAGACAATTGCCGACTTTATTTTGTACGTACCTTTCAATAACATGCTGTATTATTTGTAATCAGCCTTATCTTAGCAAGGATTGGCCCCGCCCACCCGCCCTCCGTTCTCTTTGGGGGTATGCCATTTGCCAAAATCAATCTTATCTTAGCAAGTACTAGCCCGACTCACCCGCCCTCTATTTTCTTAAAGAGTATATTATTTGCAATCTGTCTTATCTTAGGAAGGACTGGCCCCGCCCACGCGCCCTCCGTTCTCTTTGGGGGTATGCCATTTGCCAAAATCAATCTTATCTGAGCAAGTACAAGCCCCGCCCACCCGCCCTCTATTTTCTTAAAGAGTATATTATTTGCAATCTGTCATATCTTAGCAAGTACTAGCCCCGCCCACGCGCCCTCTATTTTCTTAAAAAGTATATTATTTGCAATCAGTCTTAGGAAGGACTGGCCCCGCCCACGCGCCCTCCGTTCTCTTTGGGAGTATGCCATTTGCCAAAATCAATCTTATCTTAGCAAGTACTAGCCCCGCCCACCCGTCCTCTATTTTTTTAAAAAGTATATTATTTGCCAAAGTCAGTCTTATCTTAACAAGTACTAGCCCCGCCCACCCGCCCTCCATTCTCTTAGATGGTATGCCATTTGCCACAATCAGTCTTATCTTAGCAAGTGCTAAGTGAAACCTGAAAGTTGATGGATAATTTCGTTTCTCAATAATATGTAGTAGTTCTAGGCTTAAAACATAGAACTGGAGCACAATTCTTACCATTCATTCGTAGTTTCAAACTATTTTAATGAGAAGGTTATCCCGAATCATTTTCTGAAAATTGAAAAAATTGCCTAGCCCTTATACAAAACTCGTTTGTTTAAGAGAAATTAACGTTAATTCACTAACATATCCAACAGAACTTGTGTGTAATTTGTTTTTATAACTATGGGATTTTTTTTTTAAATTGGAATAGGTATTTCCTGAAAAAAATGTTAACTTAACAACCTATATTTACCTAAAATGACACTTGATCACCAAATTGTAAGTTTTAAATTGCCAGATTGTCATAATATTAAATTAAAAATTTTAAATATGTTTTCTTTATTTGGGATTAGAATGTATTATGACGAAATAAACCCATACGCCGCCCCGGTACGACGCCTAAGGGTCTTTAAGTATGTATGCGTTTCTTCTAGTATGTAGTATGGCTGATCGGCCGGGCGACGCGCCGTTCACCAAAGGACGAGGATGCCGTTTTGGATTCGAGAAAAACCTCGATTGCGAAACATCAAGAAGGGAATATGGGTTTAAATAGAGGCCACCTTCGGGAACGAGATTATTCAGTGAACAATAGAACATACGATGAAAGAGTGTGATAAATTAAAAAAAAAAGAAGAAATCAATCGGTCTAGTAGTTTCGGAGACGCAGATGACAGATAGACGACAGACAGACGGAAACGGGGGACCACTTTTTTCGGTATTTTCAATGGTGTTTGGAAATTACAAACAAATAAAAATTAGATAATTAACGATCAACGAGCAAAGCATTTCTCATTTCTAAACTCCCGACTTTCTTTCTAGATGCACCCCGTTCTTCTAAAATTTTCCTTTATATTTTACGTTGCTTCTTTTTAAGATATATTCCAACCCGAAATAAAGAAAACATATTTAAAATTTGTAATTTAATATTATGCCAATCTGGCAATTTAAAACTTACGGTTTGGCAAATCACAGAAATCGAGGCGGGGTGGGTGGGCGGGGTTAATTATGGAAATGGGAACTAATAGAACTAATAGAACGTAAGTTGTTAAAAAAAGTTTTATTTTCACTGAAGAACTCCCATGTTTCTCTAATTGCAACAGCTGCTTCCCCTCATTATGTTCACTTTTGTCTTTGGATCTTCTTCTTTCATTATCTTATCTTAAAAAGAACTAGCCCCGCCCACCCATCCTTTATTTTCTGAAAGAGTATATTATTTGCCAAAATCAGTCTTATCTTAACAAGGACTAGCCCCGCCCACCCACCCTCCGTTTTCTTTGGGGGCGTGACATTTCCCAAAATCAATCTTATATTAGCAAATACTAGCCCCGCCCACCCGTCCTCTACTTTCTTTCAGTATATTATTTGCCAAAGTCAGTCTTATCTTAACAAGTACTAGCCCCGCCCACCCGCCTCTTAGCAAGTGCTAAGTGAAACCTGAAAATTGATGGATAATTTCGTTTCTCAATAATATGTACTGATTTTGGGCTTAAAACATAGAACTGGAGCACATTTCTGACCATTCATTCGTAGTTTCAAACTATTTTAATGAGAAGGTTATCCCGAATCATTTTCTGAAAATTGAAAAAATTGCCTAGCTCTTATACAAAAGTCGTTTGTTTAAGAGAAATTAAAGTTAATTCACTAACATATCAATTTTTGAAAATTTGGAAAAGATAATTCCTGGAAAAATGTTGATAAAAAATGTCATAATATTAAATTAAAAATTTTAAACATGTTTTCTTTATTTCGGATTAGAATGTATTATTACGAAATAAACCCATACGCCCCCCCTGTACGACGCCTATGGGTCTATAAGTATGTATGCGTTTCTTCTAGTATGTAGTATGACTCATCGGCAAGGCGACGTGGCGTTGACTAAAGGAAGGGGAAGTCGGGATGGATTCGAGAAAGACCTCGATTGCGAAACATCGAGAAGGGAATATGGGTTTACATTGCGCCACATTCGGGAACAAGATTATTTAGTGAACGAGTAGAGTCCAGCAAGTGTTGAGAAAACCCAGACAAGTCGCACCGGAATTATTTTTGTACATAATCTCTGTGTAATTAGTCGTGTGAATTTAATTTACTAAGAAATATATTGTTGATTTTAACCCACGCCGATTTTAAACACCCGTTCGACGTAACAATATATTAAAAAAGAGCAACGTAAAATAAAAACGAAAATTTTAGAAGAACGGGATGCATCTAGAGAAAGTCGTAGTTTAGGAATGAGAAATGCCTTGTTCGTTGATCGTTAATTATCTAACTTTTATTTGTTTGTAAAGTACGAGAAAAGTGGTCTCCCATTGTCTGTCGTCTATTTTTTTTTTAATTTATCATACTTTTCCATCGTATGTTCTATTGTTTCTCGGTCTTTTTGACACATTCTGTATTTCCTCTCTTCCTCACACATGATTACTCTCTCCTTTTTGTTTTAGGTTGTTAAGTAATGTGGCTCTTCTTCCTCTATCATTCTACCTAGAATTTCTTATCTCTGCTACAGAACTCCTGTCACATCTATTTTCCTTGACGTCTCACACTTTTTACTTCATGCTTCACAGTTCTTGCTCGTAGTCCTCCTTTTTCAACATTACTCAGCCCACCAGTAATTTTTCCTCCCACCACTTCTACTTACAGTAACTTCTACCTTCATTTCTGCATCTTTTATCAGTTGTTCCAATTCATCAAATTTTGCTCACATATTTTCCTGCTTTCTCCTTCTCGGTTTTCTGTCATATTCTCCTATTTCAGCCTCCAGTGCCATATATTCGGGGTCTATCCTTTCTCCCACTTTCAACTGCGAGATGTTTTTTCGTACACTATTAAATAATAATCTATTACCGATTGTTCTCTGAGTCCTACATAGTATATCTTGACAAGTAGCTACTAACCCAGCCCACCCACCTTCTATTTTTTTAGAAAGTATCTCATTTGCCACAATCCGTCTTACCGTAACAAGTGCTAGCCCCGCCCACCCACCGACTTTATATTTCTTTAGAAGGTATGCTGGGTATGTCATTTACCAAAATCAGTCTTATCATAGCAGGTACTAGCCCCACCCACCTGCACTATTCTCATTATAACGATTTTATTTCTGTTGAGTATAAGATCCACCTTTCGTTCAGACTAGATAAAATGAATCACAGAAATGGAGACGGTTGGGTGGGCGGGGTTAATTATATGTTCTTTTTTAGAATGGAAATGGGAACTAGTAGAACGTAAGTATTAAAAAAATGTTTATTTCCACTAAAGAACTCCCATTTTCTCTCTTCGACTAATTCCGACAACTGCTTTCCTTCATTATTTTCACTTTTGTCTTTAGATCTTCTTCTTCCGTCATTTTTTGTTAGCAAGTACTAGCCCCGCCCACCCACCCTTTATTTTCTTACAGGGATGTAATTGGCCACAATCAGCCTTTTCTTAACAAGTACTAGAAGTTTTATTTCCACTAAAGAAGTCCCATTTTCTCTCTTCGACGGATTTCGACAGCTGCTTTCTTTCATTATTTTCACTTTTGTCTTTGGATCTTCTTCTTCCATCATCTTGTCATAGCTAGTACTAGCCCCGCCCACCCATCCTTTATTTTCTTACAGGGTATGTAATTTGGCACAATCAGCCTTTTCTTAACTAGTACTAGCCCCACCCACCCTTTATTTTCTTATTTCATTTCATTTACCAAAATCAGTCTTATCTTAACGAGGACTAGCCCCGCCCACCCGCCCTTCATTCTCTGAGGGTGTATGTCATTTGGCACAATCAGTCTTATCTTAGCAAATGCTAACTGAAACCTGAAAGTCATAGGACAATTTTGTTTCTCAATAATACTTAATGCTTTTGGGCTTAGAATAAAATTGGAGCCCATGCCTTACCAGTCATTCACAGCTTCAAGCTATTTTAGTTGCGAAGCTTTCCCCAATCATTTTCAATGCACAGTTGCGACCAGAATATCTTGGACGCCATTTTTCTGTCATTTTGAAAATTTTGATGTAGTCCATGCTTTATTGTCACTTTGAAGTTTAAAAGATTCGTCAGATTTGTCACGTCGCATCCACTGTTAGCATGCCTGCAACGTCAAAAATGACAAAACTATAAAATAAGGTTACAATACTTAAAGGTGTTTCACATTTTGTGACAGAGGAATGACGTTGACGTCCAAAATTTTCTGGCCGCGACTGTACGTACTGACACTGAAAATTTGACTGACAAAGACAGAGAACTAAAATCTATAGCTAGAGTTTTCTCCAAGGTAGAAAAGGACTACCATATTTGTTTCTTTCTAACTTGACAACGCTGCCATCCCTGTTCACACTCTCAAAAACGACATAAAAAAGTAGAAGTAGTGATCAAAAATTACTATCTGAGTTGGTATCAAAAATTTGCTTGAAATCCAAAATTGACGTTTGACAGTGACGTTTAACTAACTTTTATTCTCAGAATTGGTTCATTCTATTGCCAACTCAAACACTATTTGTTGCTTTCGTTGTAGAACAAAAGACGCTGCGTCACTCTGCTGGTTCTCAAACTTGTATGATTATCCCCGCGTTGCTAAGTTCGCACAAAATAAATGTTGAAACAGTTGCATTAACTCTAACGGAAATGTTTGCCTTACAAACAAACGTCACATTATCACTGTAACAAACATAAAGTTTTGTGTAGCGTTTAGTGTCATATTATGCAAGAGTTCGTTTCGTTTTCGGGTATACGTACTCTGTTAGAAAAACTATGTAGCGTTAACTTAACATAATCACACGTTATTACAAATAATTTCGATTGATTTTCTGTTGAAAGAAATTGCGAAAAGCGTGAAAATTCTTGTAACGTTTATTAATTTAATCTTAGGGAATACACAGCTTGGCGCTGGAATATTTTCCAGAGACACCTGTCTTACGCTCGCCTTAGCGCTGTCACTGCCAGCTGAGAACGTTTGCAGTTTATTTTACCTTTCTGAAATTTACGGGAAGTCGTTCTTGTGCCGTTATTATTACAAGTAATATACAAGCAAGTACTAAGAGGTTAATAATACAAGACACGAAAGTGACATTTTCTTGAATAAGTGTTATAGTTTCAATTAGTAGGAAGCTTTAATAAGTAATATAATTTAATTAACTCGGCTGAAACAATAGAAAGCTCCATAGTGTAGCTTAATTAAATCGCTCCTAAATTTAAAACGGAGTAATAATTTCAACTCCGGCGTCACCGGAATTAGCATTTAATTTGATACAAACAAAGCGTACGTAAAATGAATATGTACAAAACAAACGAAATAAAAAAAGTGTATAATTTTGTTTACACTGAGGATGTTGTTGGCGAATACATTTTAACAAATATAGAATTGTGAATTACTTTTTAATTAGACTCCACAAACGTTTAATTTTGTTACGCACTGTCTGCAATTAGATGAAATAAGCGTACGAGAGCAAATGAGACAACGCACTTGAGGAACGTAGGTCATGGAAACGTGCCGCCTTTCAGTTTTGGATTTTATTAAATATTAACATTACAATAAAAAAAATTACAGTATGTATATATATCTTTATTTACACTTTTACATTGAGAATACATTTTTTGAACACTGTTTAACAAATATGGAATTATGCATTATTTACTTAATTAGGCTTCAAAAATTTTTACATTTGTTCCACACTATGTTTACAATTAGTGTACATCTTAACATCGATCAGATGAATTTTAAGATTAACAATCGCTTAAACGAAAATAACTAACATTTGGCTACGAAACACAGCCTTTATTATCGGAATCGAATCGGACATAATTCCTGAAAACCTGATGATAATGTACAATGCTCCATCGACAACACAAACAAATAAAAAAATAAATAAGAGATTGTGCGATGAGATTTCTTATACTTAGTCCTAAAATTACAAAGAGTTAAGTCGTTAATCTTTCCCTCTCCAAAAATGAATGAACAATTAAATTACAGTAGTTAAATGCTACATCATTTTTCACTGGGAAACTAGCTGTACAGGTCGAAAAGAGCTTCGCTCTTTTCTCTCGTTTGACTAAAATTTTCAAAAATATTTCAAATTCCTGCACGCCTCGGGTTATTCTACAAAATAAAATACACAACATCCAAATTCGTTATATCGAATTGAAGTTAATTGTAACAAAACGTTTATTACTTTCTAGAACAACCCCAAAAGCGTTTTTTCTCACAGCACGTCTTCGCTCCTCCCGGTGCGAAGACCGAACAGTCTTCGTCAGCCATACAAACACATCGCTACTTTAAAAACAGAGTCTTTATCCAGGTACACTTGTGAAACGGGTTCGCGGCGCTTTCGGCTACGTCGTCACCTCGAGTCCGAGGGGTCTGCGCCGGGGTCGCTGTCGTCCCCTAAGGAGTTTCCTTGCTCGTGCTGCTGCACGTTATAACTGGGAGATCGGAACTGTCTACCCTGCAGCTGGGACCCGTCGGAGCCCCTTCGGCCGGAGACTTCTTTTCGTTTGCAGAAGCACTTGCAGATGATCCGCTTGAAGGCGAATCTGGAAGAAGACGCACTTTGGAAAATGGGTCGATTCGGGCCGGGTTCGAAACCTCCGCCCACGTGCACTAGCATAAAAGACCTGGAGAGCGTCGCCAGCCCTGAGGCAAGCAAATTGTGAACTTATGAATGGAGTAGGAAGGGTGGGGATAAGATAAAGAGCGTTTGAAATTGAAATCTTAGGGAGCCGCCAGTTAGTGGTGCCGTGGGGGTTTTGGAGCTGAGGCGGAAACACGTGGGCGCGGGTTTGAACCCAGGTGACTATTTTCCAAAAAAAAAAATTAACATTGCTGCAAAAGTAACAACAAAAACGTTTCTTTTCATGCTTTCGATTTACTATGGTCTAGAACGCTTTGTTGTTGATGACAGCTATATCCGAGTAATTGTTTTGTTTTTTTCTAGTCCCTACAGTCGCATTAGCTAAGTATTTGTTGTTTTTATGACATACGTATTATAGTTGTGTCTATTGATTAAATAAAGCTGCACAATTTCCCCTGCCACAAACCCCTCCCTGCCGCCACCACACTCCCCGCCCAAAAGCAAACCTCACCTGAAGTCTTTCGAGAAGAGCGCGTAAATCAACGGATTGATCGCACTGTTGCAGTACCCCAACCAGAACAGGATCGAGAACACCAACGAGTGTATGCAATCCTTGCAGAACGCCCGCACTAAGTACATGGTAAAGAACGGAAGCCAACAGAAAATGAAGCCGCCGACGATAATCGCGAGCGTTTTGGCGGCCTTAGTCTCCATGCGGAACCTCTTCACTTGCGCCTTGATGTTCCTCTTGCCCATGCGGCGCGAGATCACCTTCTTGCCGTCCTCGCACGAGCTGGGGCACGGGCTCGGCGCCCGCTCCGTGCTCTCGCAGCTGCTGGAGCGCCGCGACGCGCGCCGCCGCGAGCTTAATCGGTGCACGCGGAGCTGGTTCTCGCGCCTGCACAGCGCCGTGGTGGCGTCTTTGCCGTTGACGGAGTAGTGCACGGCGTAGGAGGCCGTGGGCCCCGTGGGGCTGCTGGGGGTGACGGCCAGCAGGTGCGGGTTGGGCGGCGGCGACAACGTGTCGCTGGAGGGGTAGCTGACGCTGATCTTGACGCGCTCGTGCTTGGCGCGGGTGGAAGGGCTGGGGCTGACGCTGCCGGTGGTGGTGGTGGTGCTGTTGCTGCCGTTGCTGTGCGGGGAGCCGTGGTGGCGCTTGGTGGAGGAGCCGCGGCCGCGGTGGATGCGCAGGGTGAGGCGCTGCTCGTCGAAGCGGTTTCGGGAACCTGGAAACGACGATAATAATAAATATAATAAGTATGTATAACTATTCTGGACTTATTTACTAGCCTATGTGTAGCAAATGCCCTTTAATTTTGGTTGTAGGCAAATCCGACACAAGTTGTCTCTTGCTTTTCTAGGAAGAGCTTTAATGTGTTAAATACACCAAGCCCTTCTACAACTTTCTTTTCGGGTTCTCTTCCTCTATCAATTAGTTCTTGTTGGGTTTTCATAAACTGAAGTTCAAAAAGGTTAACGTGTTTTAAAAATTGTTTATCATCTAGTATTTTGTGCCAATCAATATAAAGATGTCAGAGATTTAACCTCCAACGTAAAGAAAGTATTTCTTCAAGCTCATTTGAGAATCCAAAGCTTCCGGATTGTCTAGTACCTCCAGAAGCTGTTCTGACAAGATTGGGTTCATGCATTAAAGCAGCAATATATATTATTGCGCTCATTTTAACGATATTAAAAACGTTCGTTTATTGTTATTCATTATTTTGTTGTTTAATTCTAAATTAAATGAAACATTTTAGGTTATATTATCATCACGATTTAGATCGAGATGGATAGGTGGGGCTTATCTTCGGCTTTCTTTCTTACTTAAAAAATAAGGATTTTGCAATTATGCTTCGTCTCCTTACTCACGACGAACAAAGGAAAATCGTCGCAACTGAGACAGGGCGGGTGGGCGGGGCTAATGATTTGACTTTTTTTCTTCTTAATGTACATACTCTTCACTCACAACAACAAAATGAAAATTTGTACAAAATGGTAAATTTTATCTACCATACTTCTCTAAAAATTTACCATTTTAAACAAGTTTTCAGTTTCTTGTCGTGAATAGAAAACTACGTACATATAATAAAAAAAGGCAAAATACAAACCCCGCCCTCGTCTCAGTTGGGATGAATTTTCTTATTCGTCGTGAGCCGGGAGGCGGAGTTTAATTGCAAAATACTTATTTTTCTACAAGAAATTGCCATATGCAACAAGTTTTTTAAGCATCATATTGAAAAAAAAAGTAGATATGTTAACAAAAAAGATAAAAATAAGCCTCAATTGTGATAAATTGTTCATTCGTTGTACGACCAATGGGCAAATTTAGGAGCTGAAGTGACCTCGAATCAATATGAAGATGTCAGTGACTTAGTTTCCAACGTAAAGAAAGTATTTCTTAAAGCTCATTTGAGGATCCAAGTCTTTCGGGAAGTCTTAGCGAATTGTCCATTGCCTCCAGAACCTGTTCTGACAAGATGGGGTTCATGGATTAAAGTAGCAACATGTTATTGAGATCGTTTTGACGATATAATAAAGGTTCGTTTATTATTATTATTTTTGATAATTTTCTTGTGTAATTCCAAGTTAAATGAAGCATTTTAGGTTATTAGGGAATTTTACTCCACATGCTACATACTTAAATCTAACAACGAATAAAATATTCATCACAATTTTGAACGACACAGATGGGTGGGGCTTATCTTTTTTACTTAAAGCATTTAGTTTTTTTTTTAACAACACGTTTACTTAAGAACATGTTTCACATGGTAATTTCTCGTAGAAAAATAAAGATTTTGCAATTAAGCTCCGACTCTTTGCTCACGACGAGCAAAGAAAAATCGTCACAATAGAGACAGGGTGGGTGGGCGGAGCTTATGATTTGACTTTATTCTTCTTCTTAACATATATACCCTTCATAACAAAAGACTGAAAATATGTTCAAAATGGTAAATTTTATCTAACACACTTCTCTACAAATTGACCATGTAAAACAAATTTTCAGTTTCTTGTCGTGAATAGAAAATTACTTACATATAGAAACAGTGCAAAATACAAACCCCGCCCACCTACCCTTATCTCATTTGTGATGAATTTCCTTATTCATTGTGAGCCGAGGGGCGGACTTTATTACAAAATGCTTATTTCTCCACAAGAAACTACCATGTGAAACATGTTTTTAAGTATCATGTTGAAAAAAATATGTATATGTTAAGAAAAAACAAGATAAAAATAAGTCCCACCCGCCCACCTCAACCTCAAATGTGATGAATTGTTCATTGGTTGTTCCATCAAGCGGCAAATTTAAAAGCTGAAGTTATCCGGAATCAATATGAAGATGTCAATGATTAAATTTTCAACATAAACAAAGTATTTTTTAAAGCTCATTCGAGGATGCAAGCCTTCCGGCAAGCCTAAGTGGATTGTCCATTGCCTCCAGAACCTGTTCTGACAAGATTAGGTTCATGGATTAAAGCGGCAATATATTATGGCGGTCATTTTGACGATATATAAAAGTTCGTTTATTTTTATTCATAATTTTGTTGTGTAATTCTACATAATTAAATGAAAAATTTTAGGTTATTATGGAATTTGACTCCACATGGTACGTGCATAAGTGAAACAACGAATGAAACATTCATCACGATTTAGATCGCTGCTTATCTTTGGCTTTCTTATTTACTTAAAACATTTAGTTTTTTTTTAACAACACGTTAAGAAAAATTTTCTCATGGTAGTTTCTCGTAAAAAATAAGGATTTTGCAATTAAACTCCGCCTGTTGCTTACGACGAGCAAAGAAAAATCGTCACAATAGAGACAGGGTGGGCGGGCGGGGCTTATGATTTGATTTTGTTTTTCTTCTTAATATACATACCCTTCACAACAAAAGACTGAAAACTTGTTTAATATGGTAAATTTTATCTAACACACACTTCTCTACACACTGACCACGTTAAATAAGTTTTCAGTTTCTTGTCGTGAATAGAAAAGTACTACTAATAAGAAAAAAAAGGCAAAATACAAAACCTGCCCACCCGCCCTCATCTCAGTTGTGATGAATTTTCTTATTCGTCGTGAGTCGAGGGGCGGAGCTTAATTGCAAAACGCTTATTTCTCTACAAGAAACTACCAAACGGTAAAAATAAGCCCCACCTCCCCGCCCCAACCTCAATTGTGATGAATTGTTGTCCCACCAAAGGTCAAATTTAGAAGCTGAAGGAAGTATTTTTTAACGTTCATTTGAGGACCTAAGTCTTTCGGGAAACCTTATCGAATTATCCATTGCCTCCAGAACCTGTTCTGACAAGATTGGATTCATGGATTAAAGCGGCAATATATTATTGCGACCATTTTGACGATATAAAATAGGTTCGTTTATTGTTATTCATAATTTTCTTGTGTAATTTTAAACTAAATGAAACATTTTAGGTTATTATGGAATTTGACTCCACATGCTACGTGCTTAAATGTAACAACCAGTGAAAAAGTCATCTTCGTTTAGATCGGGACGCATGGGTGGGGCTTATTTTTGGCTTTCTTTTGTTCTTAAAACACTTAGTTTTCTTTGAACAACAAGTTTACTTAAGGACATGTTTCACATGGTAATTTCTCGTAGAAAAATAAGGATTTTGCAATTAAGCTCCGCCTTCTTGCTCACGACGAGCAAAGAAAATTCGTTACAAATGAGACAGGGCGGGTGGGCGGGGCTTATGATTTGACTTTGTTTTACCTGTTAATAAACATTTCTTTCACAACAAAAGACTGAAAACATATTTAAAATAGTAAATTTTATCTCCCATTCTTCTCTACAAATTCACCATTTTAAACAAGTTTTCAGTTTCTTGTCGTGAATAGAAAACTACGTACATATAAGAAAAACAGGCAAAATACAAACCCCGCCCACCCGCCCTCATCTCAGTTGCGATGAATTTTCTTATTCGTCGTGAGTCGAGGGGCGGAGCTTAATTGCAAAATGTTTATTTCTCTACAAGAAACTACGATATGAAACAAGTTTTTAAGTATCATGTTGAAACAAAAGTATATGTTAAAAAAACGATAAAATTAAGCCCCACCCACCCGCCCCAACCTCAATTGTGATGAACTGTTCATTTGTTATCCCGCCAAGGGTCAAATTTAGAAGCTGCAGAAAGTATTTCTTAACGTTCATTTGAGTGAGTACCTAAGTCTTTCGGAAAACCTTATCGGGTTATCCATTGCCTCCAGAACCTGTTCTGACAAGATTGAATTCATGGATTAAAGCGGCAATATATTATTGCGATCATTTTGACGATATAAATAATGTTCGTTTATTGTTATTCATAATTTTCTTGTGTAATTTTAAACTAAATGAAACATTTTAGGTTATTATGGAATTTGACTCCACATGCTACATGCTTAAATGTAACAAGCAATGAAAAAGTCATCTTGATTTAGATCGAGACGGATGGGTGGGACTTATCTTTGGCTTTCTTTTGTACTTAAAACACTTAGTTTCTAGTTTCTCGTAGAAAATAAGGATTTTGCAATTAAGCTCCGCCTTCTTGCTAACGACGAGCAAAGAAAATTCGTTACAAATGAGACAGGGCGGGTGGGCGGGGCTTATGATTTGACTTTGTTTTTCTTCTTAATAAACATATCTTTCACAACAAAAGACTGAAAACTTGTTTAAAATGGTAAATTTTATCTCCCATCCTTCTCTCCAAATTCACCATTTTAAACAAGTTTTCAGTTTCTTGTTGTGAATAGAAAGTTACGTACATATAAGAAAAACAAGCAAAATACAAACCCCGCCCTTCCGCCCTCATCTCAGTTGTAATGAATTTTCTTATTCGTCGTGAGTCGAGGGGCGGAGCTTAATTGCAAATTGCTTATTTCTCTACAAGAAACTACCATGTGAAACAAGTTTTTAAGTATCATGTTGAAACAAAAGTATGTTAAAGAAAGAACGTTAAAAACAAGCCCCACCCACCCGTCCCAACCTCAATTGTGATGAATTGTTCATTCATTGTCCCACCAAGGGTCAAATTTAGAAGCTGAAGAAAGTATTTCTTAACGTTCATTTGAGGACCTAAGTTTTTCGGGAAACCTTATCGGATTGTCCATTGCCTCCAGAACCTGTTCTGACAAGATTGGATTCATGGACCAAAGCGGCAATATATTATTGCGACCATTTTGACGATATAAAAAAGGTTGGTTTATTGTTATTCATAATATTCTTGTGTAATT